ACTAATACTTATGCCAAATACATAAGCAGTTACATATAATTAATTCACAAACCTAAATAAAGGTTAGAAACACTCTTATTGGCAGTACCGCAGTTTTCTGATTCTAAATTATTCATTGTTATTCTGTTCCCAAGGACTAGCAAAATTACAGTTTAGCTGGCACTCTTCGAGAAAAAAAAAAAAGTTCTAGGTATGAACACAAATAAAACCAACGAGTGGCTTCGTAGATGACTCTTCTAGAAGAGGCGATTACTACTACAAAAAAGTTGCCCCTAAAGGGGCCAACCACTTTGCTCATAGCAACAACATGGCCTTGTGTCCTTGCCACTAACAAAGCGCTTGAAAAGATGTTAGAGAAACCATGTCCATAGGTGTAATTAGTAATTATAAATCGAGATTAATAGCCTGTTTTGGTCAAGTTATTAAAATCAGTTTATTTTGAATTTTTTTGTTATAGTAATTTTTAAAAGAGTACTTGTCACACCTCCTTTTTTACACACCTACCCCGAAGGATAATGTATAAGGGAGTTTTTTCACTTAAAGTGACATTATTCGAAATGGGATTATTTATTTGTTTTTAGAGTCGCCACTTGGGATAGGATTGGCTTTTGGTGTCCCAAGTCACCGGTTTAATTTGAATCCCAAATCGAGGAAAATTTCGACTTCCCAAGTGGAGTCTGCGAACCAGAAATTCTGAATAAGAAATTCTGTTGACCCGAGGGAAGGTGTTAGGCACCCCCGGGTCCCGTGGTTCTAGCACGGTCGCTTAAATTATTATAATTGGCTAAAATCTAATTTTTGTACATGTTCAAACCTGTAGTGCAATTTTATACATTTGTTTAGCCGCTTTTAATTAGTTTTTATGAAAGTGAACGCCGTTTAAGAGCGTGTTTTTGGATCACGTCACATGAAATGCACCCGGATCCTCGACACCTCTTATTCAATATTTTGGGATTTGGATTTGGGTCGCATGAAATGCACACCCGTATTTAAGAAGGTAAAATTATTAAAAGCGCGCCTAAAAGTGGCTAGCGTCTTATTAACTTTGCGGGAAGCCATGAAAATTCGCTAAATGGCATGTCCCGAATTTCTAAAAATAGTTTTTACTAAAAACATTTAATGAGGGCCCCGCGATTTATGTGTTTTGTTTGGCGAGGCTCATCTCACTTCATTATTTTAAGGCCAACCTAAAGCAAACTACGATTTTCTAATTATTTTTTGTCTCTAAATGGGCCTAAATAATTAACACCATCAATTGCTATTATTTAAAGTATGCAAGGTTTTTTGGGCCTCCAATTCAAGTCCACACCCGAACAAGAGGAGAGCCTCTTAATTCGAGCATGCTACTTAACTAGCGAGCCCTAAACCCAAATTACCAACTTAATACTATGAAGTCTAACCCTTAGCATTTTGGGCCTTAGAATGAATTTAGGAGGAAGGGGAATAAGTAGTTAACTTCATAAAAGCTGTCTCATGTGCACAGATTTGGGCCCAAGCCATATGCCCCAAATAAAAAAAAAATCCAGCAGATTGGGCCTTGAGGCGAGCCCAAGATGGAGAATTTTCGGTCAGGCTCTATAAGGAGCTACCCAATTGTGGGCCTCTGCACAGGCCCAAACATAAAATGAGGTAGGATTAGGGCCTTTGAATTGAGACCTCATGGCCTTAAATGGGTCAGTTACTAGATCCGATAATGAGTTCAAAAACTGATCATAACTGGAATTGACAACTCTTTAATTGTTTGAAATTCAAATCTCATACACGTTTCAATTTGTTTGCATTTCTGATGAACTAATACACTAAATCTGGGAATTCAACAACCTTTAATGTCGATCAATAATCCCTTAAACAACTCAATCCTGGACCTGACATTAGAAATAGCTACTACTATTTATTTCTGATTTCTAACAAATAACGCGTTAAGCAAATTGAAACAACCAGTCCACTTTCAGATTCGAATCTTATGTTAATATATTCTAACAGCACTAAATCTAACATGATTAAACCAAATCATATTCTAAGCTCAAGTTCCAAGCATGATAATAAAGCTAACACTAATTAAATCTAACACCATTCAATAGGATTCCCATATAATTCTATAAAATCAAGCAGTTCGGTTAAAAGCAGTCCAAACAGTCCTGTTAATATACATCATGTAATGTTCAAATGAATACAAGGGATGAAATGCATTTAACTAAGGTAAAATACTCAAAATAAAAGCAGCTTGCACTTCATTACTTCTTCCAATTTGATCATACATTGAGCTCAAATTCATAAGTCATTTGGAGCTGAAGAATACCTGGAATTCGAATAACAATAAGAAGAAGGAAGTCAGCAGCAATTGGCAGTAATCAGCAACAATGAGCTCAAATCCAAAAGCCCAGCAAATAATATTAGATGCCCAGGAATTGATTTCAGACGGACAGATACCAGTAAACAAACTAAGATCAGCTTGAATAGACCAAATTGAAACTTAGAAATCAACCTAGGAACTTCTGGAACCTCAACTACTGAATTACCAGGATAATGCAAACCATATTTCAATCTTATAGATGCTGGAAATTGGATCTAACAGCTAGAACTCAAAATTGTCCTAAGAAACTTCAATGGAAGAGTGATTTTTGGAAATTTGGTTGCCCCCCGTTCGCAGAAACTTTTCAGTATTTTTTAGGCTTCCAAAATCTGTCTTCAGCTCTAAGTAACAGTGCCTTTATAGGCAAGTTACTAGGGCTGCTTCAACTTTTAATTTTTACTCTTTAATCCTTTTCTGATTTTTATTTTTAGCTAGTTAGTCCTTTATTTATTGGCTTGTTAGCCAAGTTAGACTATTAAGTCTCTGAAATTCTAATTGGAACCCCATCTAGAAGGTTCTAGGGGTTTCCAATTCAGTTATTTGCAAGATTTCCTAAGTAAACTACCCTTATTGCCCCTGCATTAGTCCTAAAATTACTAACCTATGCTAACTAACCCCAGCCCCTTTTACCTTAGTTAGTAACTATAGTTAGACCAACAAATCTAATTCAGCTATATCCAAACAGATTAAAACGAATTAAATCTAAGTAATAGCAACGATAAGAAATTGCTAACTAAATCAAGCACTAAAATAAAAAATGAAATAAAACATATATCAAACAGATTCGAAATTAAACAGGATCAAACAAAATCAAAGCCTTACCAAAACAAAATCAGTCATGAACAACAAAGAAATTTGGACTAAAAGAAAATCGCACCCAGGATAAGGGAATCAGGCATAACAAAGAATCAAACTAAGAAGAAAACCTACTCGGTCATGAATCAAAACTAAACCTAAAGAAAATCAATGGCAAACATACTGAAATTATTCGAGAACCGAATTAAAACTGTAACCCTAAAAGAAAACCCTAAAAAGAAAGAAGCAAACAACAGTCGAATCAAAAATAAGAACGAACTAACACTATATGGCTGAAATCAGATCCTAAATTAAGACCCAAAAATAAAAATAAAATAACAGAAATACCAAATAGAAGGAATAAAATCAAAGTCATGAAGAACAAAAGAAAAGGAGATAGAAGAGGAATACCTCGAAATCGCTCATTAAGGCCGGCTTTTAGAGGTAATTGGACTATAACCATCCGTAATCATGTGTTTTCAAGGGAAAACACACGATTAAGGGTTGTTATAGCCCCTTAAATCAATAAACCCCCAACTGTTGAAAACTAGGGTTCCTAGTCCGGACTTTGATATGAAATTCGAGCTGCTGGAGGAAGATTCGAGGGAAACTAAAAGGGAATTTGGGATGAGAGGGTTGTGGTGGTCAAAGGGCGTAATAATGGTAAGGTTTGGGGTTGACGCCACCGTGTGCGGTGGAGACGGCGTTTAGGGTTTTGGATATTCGACGGTTTTGGGTGATATTTGAAAGGAACTGGAGGTGGATATGGAAAGGTGAGGAGGAGAGGAACACGGGGTGTAAATTTGGGGTCATTTGGAGAATCGCCACCGGCGGAGGCGATTTCCGGCCGGCGGCGGACGGCGGAGGGATGGTGGCGTTACGCCGGCGTACATTAAGGGGTTCTGAGAGATGATTGAGGGGTAGGGGGGGTCTATCCGACACTTTTATATTAAATAAGGAGGGACTTCTCGACCGTTGGATCAAGCTACCTAGACGACTAGGATTAACTTGACGTAAAACGACGTCGTTTAGTCATTAGGGGGTCTGGACCGGGTTGGACGACGGGTCTTGGGCTCATTGACCGGGTTATTTCGTTTGGGCTCAGCCATTTTGGCCCAAATTCGGGTCTTTTAAGACCAACTTTTCTCTTTTTCTCAAAATTGTTTTCTCTTTTCCCTTTTATTTTCATTTTGTATTTTTTTATAATTTTCTGACTTTATTAAAATGCAAAATTAAAATAAAGACCAAATTTATTTCCAAAATTAAACTAATTAAGTCCTAAAATTGATTAAGTCCTACTTAAAGCAAACCCATGACAAATTCAACAATTAAAAAAAAAATGCAAAAATGGACTATTTTTGTTATTTTCTTTATATTTTGTTTTAAAAACAATTTAACTACTAATTAATCCTAAAAATATGAAATTGAATCCTAAATGCAAATGTGAAGTGTATATTTTTCATATGAATTAAAATGCACAAATAAATGCAAACAATTAACAGAAAATAACACAAAAATTCACAAAATTGCAGAATAATGAAAGAAGTCATTTTGTTTGAATTTTTGGGAGTAATTCACTTAGGGAAAAAATCACGTGCTCACAGTACTCTTGCTAGAAACAACGTGTATTTGGCTAATTAATTTGAAAATCACTTTTGATCAATAATTAATTTTTTACCAAACTTTTAAAAAGTACATCTAAGTGTATTTTTCAAAAAATACTTTAAAAAAAAAGTAATTTGGTTCTCAAAAACCACTTCTACTGAAACGAAAACTTGGTCAAATACGAAAAAAAAATTGACAAAAAATAAATAGATCACTTTTAGCAAAAAAAGTAGTTAAAGCATGATGATTAGTTGATGTTGAACTGATCATTTTGAAAAGGGCAATGATTACAACAGACATTGTTTGTCATCTTATTCTTCTTCATGTGAGGAAGTGGAACAAGGCTATCCTTGTACTGGATGATTGACGAGTAGTACAATAAGTAATCAAAATCAATATCGACAGGAAAATCTTTAATTTGATTGGTGTGGATATCGTACAATCCCATTTTTGCTGGTGTTTCATCCATTCTATAGAAGACCACTTCATCATTAAGCCAAAAACCCATTGGCTGCAGGTCATAACATAGTAGAGAGGCGGCTTCAAATGTGAATTGCTTAGCCCAAGATTCTGAAACATGTCGATAGTTTTTGAGAGCCCAAATGTGAAATGACAGATAACCTGTGGAAGAAACTGAAGAACCAAAAATGGCAAGTGTACTTTCCTTGAATAGTGCAAGCTTCCTGTGGTAATGTCTAATTGGTTTTTCTTGATAAAATGGTGTTTCTATCTGTCTAAATTTTTCCTCAACCATATCAAACGCAATTACAATACTCAAAACCGGTCCAACTTTATCATGTCCTAACCAATGAATAGCGTCATTTGCATTCAAACAATGCCCATGTTGGACGATATTATACGGAAAATCCGTCTCCATTTCCTTTGCGGGGATACTACTATTATCACCATTCCACCTAGTGATTTTAATATATGCTGTATGATTAGCATAGATTATGACCCTAACCAACTTGTAATCGTTGATGAGAGGAAGGAAGGTGAAACCTGTAGCTAGACTATAATAAGAGCGCCCATCTATATCTCCTCGTCCGATACCATTGAAAATTCTGTACTCTCTTGTAGCATTGTTCCACACCACTGCTGAGTTAGAGCACGATGCAGATGAAAAACATACCATGCCTCGACAAGCGGCTGCCACAACAATCTGTCTAAATCTTTTAGGAAGAGTAGGAGGAGGTAAAAGTAAATCGGTAATAGTTTCATCTTCACACACTGAGATGCTGTTATATACATGTTGTTTATAGAAACATATCAAGCTGTTGCGCTTGGCTCGATCGTGATGCATGTTGATGAAGGGAAGGGAGAGGATTAAGGCATGCCAGGACCGACAGACGCTTTTAAAGCGCAAAAGTGGCTTCACAGTTAATGCTAAGAGAATAGCCATTATGATTTCTCCTGGGAGAACTTTGCTAGATCCGTTCATGGCTTCACATATAGCATCAAAACTATCCTTGTCTTGTCCAACCATTCCTGCATTAGATTTAGAGTTGAATTAATTAGTTCACCTAGAAATAAGTCTCAATAAATCTCCTCCTCAACATTGAAATGTGCTTAAAAATTAAACAAGCCTGATCCATCAAATCTTAATTAAGTCGATTGCTGTTAATTAATGTAATCAATTACTCCCTCCGGTCCAATTTAAGTGATTTTTTAGTCTTTTTTTTTTGTGGTCCGCGATATTCAATGTTTTCAGATATCAAGAAGGATTCCTTCTTTCCAAAGTTGCCTTGAAGTAAAGAGCCTATGAGTAGTTTGTTGTATATTTCCAATGAGCAAATGAAGGTTAATGTGGTCAATTTCATTATTAATTAATGTTAAAAGGTAAATTTTTTAATATGTATGAAAAAGCCAAAAAAATCACTTAACGTGAACCGGAGGGAGTACCCAACATAGATTTTAAAGGATAAACTAAGGAAATCCTAAAGACCAATGCTTCTTATAATTTCTTCCCCTCCCCCAGTTCCATCTCAATAAAAGACTACACTAGGTATGGATCGGATCATCAATGGTAAGATAATAGCTAAAAAGAATCTTTAGCACAAGCCTTAAACCAAAATAGAAAAATTACTTGGACACTGAAAGATAATTAAGTAAATGCATTACAAGGAGTTTATTTGCTGATTTCTAGTAAATGTTCTACTTTAAGCAACAAAAATGTGTTCGAGGTATCATGAATAGTAACATATGTAAAATGTCACTACCATTTTTTTGTCCGCGAATTAATCATCAATCAATTAAGAAAAAAATGTTAGATATGTGCACATACGAAATTGAACATATTAACCTTTACGATCCTTACAAATAGAAAAGTTTAAGATCATCTTAATTACGTAAATACTCTTTTCTTTTCTCCGAGGAACGGTACACCAAAATGTCCACTTAACTCGCAAGGAAAAGCAACACGTTTGGGCATTAGAGTTTGTGAACTATACCTACAAAGATTAAAGACATGCATACAAGCCTACAACAACAACAACAACAAATTAACCCAATATAATTCAATAAATGAGATCTGGGGAGGGTAGTATGTACGCAGACCTTACCCCTACCTTATAAAGATAGAGAGGTTATTTCCGATAGACCCTCGGCTCAAACAGTTGAGATAAGTTAAAACAACCAAGTAGCAAACAATGGTGACAACAATGAAATATGGTAACGAACGTGAATGACACAACATGTAATAATAAAGAACCATGACTAGATAACACAAAAATAGTCCTAATATACTGATAAGCCTAGGAGGAACACACTACTAACTGTCAACCTGCATCCAAGCCTCAATCCGAATTATGTGTTTCACTTTTTTAAATTTATTTGTGACTAGCAGAAAAGCATAATTCAAATGTATGATATGGGTTCTAAATTAGGACTTTAGGAGCAAACAGTGATAGCTAACAAAACTCAAATTATAAGATAAAACTAATGCAGGATAAAAGAGAAAAGAAAAGGTCGTAGAAAACCTAAAGGGTCCAAGCATATTCCAACATTTGTTTAACCATTCGGTACTCAGTACCATCTGGTCCGACTAATCCGAATTTTCAGAACTCAAATTCTAGACATCTGAACTCTGGTTGAGGGCGGAGGGATCTCAACTATTTCCAAATTTTACTTACGTGAGTTGAAAACTGAGCAGGATGTTCCAGCAATCGTGCTCATGATGGCTCGATGTCGTTCTGCATTTCTTTTCTTTTTCCTCTCCAATGACTGCTGCTCGCTTCTATCCCTCGTTCCTATATATATTAATTCAAGCGCGCCATTAGGAGGCCCTAATAACGGACTTTTCCTTTTCTATCACGATACCTTTTACTAATTCCAATATTAGCTCTATTTAATTACCTTTTCTTATACTTTTTATAATTCTTCCATTGTTTCGAAAATAAATGAAAAGCTAATTCATAATTGCCAATGGGTGTCACACCTCCTTTTTCCATCCGAGGGGGATATAAGGAAGTTTTTTCAATTTAAGTGACATTATTCGAAATGAGATTATTTTTATTTATTTAGAGTCGCCACTTGGAATAATTTATTTGTTATCCCAAGTCACCGATTTATTTTAAATCCCAAATTGAGGAGAATTTTGACTTTATTTAAAAGTCTGCGAAACCAGAAAACTAGGTAAGGAATTATGTTAACCTGGGAGAAGGTGTTAGGCATTCCCGGGTTCCGTGGTTTGAGCACGGTCGCTTAACTATTAATTATTGGCCTAATTATCTGACTAATTACATGTTTTAAAGCTTTTTAACTTTATAACCGCTTTTATTTATTTAGACTGCTTTTAGGATTTATGGATTTATTTCTTCAAAAGTTACAATTGTCGTACACTTGTTGTTTTGGGACACATCACAAACCATGCTACATGAAATGCACCCGTGATTTGCGACATGTTTATTTTATTGATGTTCGCAGTTGTTATAATCGGGTTACATGAAATGCACACCCGAACTTTGGAAATTAGGCATTGTAACTATGTCACTGGAACCGTACCCATAATCACAATGGTTGATTTAACAGTCGTGCCTAAAGCAAACTACGGTATTCATATGATCATTTTTTCTAAGGTTTGAAGTCAAGTGAACGTCAAAGAATTATGAAAAGGGGTCGGGTAAAGTGTGAGTTCCGTTAATGTGGACATTGTTGATACCCAATTTTTCCCTGTCTATTTTTTTTATATGCAGAATATCTTCAAAATAGCATATATATGCATGTATAAGTATGTCCAACATTTTATTATTTTTCCCATAATTTTTAAGGCTTTAAAACTAATTTATTTCCCTTTTTCATCCATAAAAGCCCGATGATTATTTTTAAAATTATTTTTTTTGGTAATTTAGTTATTGGAATTTTATATCTATACTAAAATGTAGCTAACATAATTTTTGTATATTTTTACAAATCTATTTAGTATTTTTAAAGCTAAATTGCATATAATTGCAACATTAGCCTATTTTAAGATTTATTTGCATTTTATACTTACAAAATTGATTCCAGTATTTTAATTTAATATTTATATGTTATAAATCATTTTTAGTACTTTCAATTTATTTCCAGAATTTAATCTGCTATTTTTGTAAAATAAATAGGGAAAAAAGGGGCTATTTAATTTATAGCCACATTTGGCCTCTTAATTTGGCTTAATTATACCCAGCCCAAATTGAACCAACCCAATACCCAAGCCCAATCCTAAATCTACCCGACCCAGCTCGGATCAAATCCTGGCCGTTGATCATTTTTTATCAACGGTCCAGATCTATGCTTACCTAATTAAGCCAAACGACCCCCCCCCCAACCCCTCGTTTGCCTCACTCGTCTCTATCACTATAACCTCTGGTTCTCTCTAGAACCTTCCCCCCTTCCGCTCCTCTCCGATGAGTTCCCTTCATCTTCTCCGGTCACCTTCTGACCAGAATCCATGGTGGTTTCACCACCTACCAAGCCACCTATGGCTCCTCACGTTTGGTTACTGAAGCTTCATGACTCGACCACAAAGAGTTGGCTCTAGACTTTTGTCGATTCAAGTTCCACGGCCATCTCCGGCCTTGCTCCAGCAAGCCGTGTCTGTTCGAGCCTGGCCTCAACTCCTCCTGTTTAGATCCAAGCCTTTCTCACCGTTTGGGTTCCTCTGAAAACCCTAGCTTTGAGGTTTTTCTGATCTCTTTAGATCTGTTCCAGATCTATGCTTTCCCTAAGCTTTTAAACGATTTTCTGATATTGTTTTCAAAAGTTATACTTTCAAAACCTTTGTTCTCCGATTTAGGGTTTTGAGTTATGCTTCTCTGATTTTCTTGTGTGTTTCCCTGATTTTCTTCTTCTCTTGTGTGTTTTTCTACTATGATCTTGTTAAATCTCTTCTACCATGTTTTTCTATTATATTACTCCTACTGTGTTCTTGTTAAAACTCTTCTACCATGTTTTTCTATTATATTGCTCCTACTGTGCTTTTGTTAAAAATTCTCCTACCATGTTCTTATTTGTTTCTTCTACCAGTTCTTCTACTATGGGTCGCATATTACTCTTTTACTTTGTTTCTCATGAGTTTTTGTTATTGAAAAAAGCATGTCGAAGGTCCCAGTTCCTTTATGAGACCTTTGAACTTGTTTCGACTAGTATCTTTTGCTTTCTTGATTACTTGCCCTCTCATCTCGGCACTCGATTGATGGTAAAACCCTAAAATTTAAGGGTTCATCCGAGTTTGAGAACATTGGCTATGTGATATGTTTGTTCTTCATCTTTAAAGTTGTCTGATTTCAGAAACCCTAACTATTTCGAGGTTCTGAACTTGTTTATCAACTGAGTCTCGAAATTCTTTGTCTCAACCTCTGTCTCTTTATGCAATTCTGATTTTCCACTAAAACTTTCCTAAGGTCTTTTACACTGGATCTTTTCTATGCTACTAGATGCTACTTCTCTTCTACATTGCTAACCTATGTGACTACCATGCTCCTATAGTCTATTATCTACTGATTTTTGCATTGACACGACTTCTTCTTAACATGTTTGTATGCTCTTTATAGACTTCCCCTCTAAAATGGTTTTCAGACTTCCTTCTGTATAGGTTTGATTGATTTCTTTCCTTGTTTGCTGATTTCCCTATGACTCGATTTAAGTTATTTGACTCCTTAACTTTTCTAACTTGGTTCATTCATGGACCAGTGATTACAAGATCCTTGACCTTTGATTTACTAGCTATTTACTGATTTTCTTACGTTATTTGTACAACCGTGTACTTCAAAATTCTGTCCTTAAATAACTTTTATGTATTTGCCCCTAACTGCATGCGACAAGATGTTTATTTGATTTCTTCCCTTAAATAGTTTTCCCGTTTGAATCTGAGTTCCTTAATTAAAGGAAGTCTTGTGTGATTGATTCTTAATTGATATTCAGTTCCTTAACTGTTTTCTTACCTTATTTCTGCCTGGTTTTCACACTATAAATGCACGACTCATTCACAAACTCAGGAGAATTCAGAAT